TTTGTGTCATAGTTCAATTTGTTCCAAGTAATTGGACCTTATAGTCCTTATTTCAACATTGAAAATGCATGTTTTTTACATATGAAAAATGCTGTTTTACTACCATAATTTATGGAGTTTTGTTAAGCAAAAGCAAACAGAGGTATGTTATCAGGAAATAGGAGGAAATTAGATAACAAAGGCTTAATAGGTCAACAATGACTTAGCCAAAAATTATAGTAGCCACAAATATAAGAACGTTCTGAAAATTCAAAGTATAGCTAACAAGACAGGTTAAGTATACAGTATGTGCTAGCCATTTCTTGGGGGTGTTATGCATAGTGATCCAAAATTCTCAATGTTCTGCTAAAGGACCTTATACCAGGAAATTAAATGAGCTTGCAGTCATGGGATCAAAGAAAGAATCTTTAAATTCCTTAGGCCTGTCCTGTTATTGCAGACTCCACCTTGAAACGTCATCTTGGTATGATTACAATAAATGGTGTAATACACCGATGTGGTTGCACCATTCTGTTACAATAATTAGACCATACGACATTATGTCATAACATAATAACGTCATTTTGAAGAAGGTTAATACTGTGGGTATCATATGCCATAGGATTGGGTTTTCCGATCGATCCATACTGTCATACATTCTAGATTTTAGCTTATATCACTCTAGTGTAAACCACAAAAATAATCTATTTGTGAGATGGAAGGAGTTATAAACGACGCAGAAATATCGCCCATTATTGAGGACGAAGTAATTCAAGCAAACCAAAGTTACATGACGAACGCAGCTGTGAATATGGCGAGTGATCAGAGTCCTATAACGTTGACATTCAATAATTTACAAGTTTTTATCGACAATCGAAAGATTCTGGACAATATTAGTGGATCGGTCAAGCCAGGAGAAGTTTTAGCTGTGATGGGACCAAGCGGTAAGCATAAAAACGTTGTAAAACAACTAGCGCAGTTTAGTTTACAGATGAAAGCTTTTATTTGTTTTTTTCCTAAGTAAGAGAACACATTTAACTTGTGTTTTAAAAGCTGATAACTTTGCAAAGATTAGGCTGACAAGTAAATAGTGCACATAAAACCACGTGTGGATTAAAAGTATTAAAATTAATTATATTCATAGCCTATTGTGAAAGTTTGTGTCTGTTTGATTATAGATTTAATAGATGTGTATTTATCTCGTATGTAATAGCGAAATATATGACTTATTCGAATTCGAAAAGGCCTAGTTCTGTTACATCTTGTACAAATTTTGGCCATTTTAGACAACTACTGTAATCAAAAAATGATTTACTTTCGGTTGCTAGGATTCAGTTAGTAGGAGTATATTTTTATTTTGCCTAAAGCCAGGGCAGAGTGTGGAGAATGTCTGTTAGTGCAGTTTTATGTTGGAAAATATTGTTTTGGCAATTCATTAGATAGACTCAGTATTTTTCATTAGTTTGCTAAAAGTAGAAGAATAGAGTAAAAACATAAGTATAAATCATATCAAATATTTCAAACTACAGGTTCTGGAAAAACAACCTTGCTAAACTTTCTCGCTGGTCGCAAAGTAGGTGACACAAAATCTGGCGAGGTCTTGCTAAATGGCCGTCATGTGAATAAGAAACTGAGAAGAAAAATATGTTATGTTTTACAAGAAGATCTATTCTTTGAAAATTTGACATTAAAAGAAACCTTGACTGTAAGTAGGCTCATTGTGCATTTTTCACCAGATATATTATATATCTGATTACCATCGAAAATTATATATCTTATCTCCAATGCAATTACCCTGGTGTGTTTTTACAGGACAACAAAATAGGTTTGGTCCAACTTAACTAAACCTAAGTTATACTTTTATTTTTTTCCAGTATTCAGCGTTACTAAGATTACCAGATAAAATGCCAAAAGCAGAGAAAATAAAGAAGGTAGAATTATTTGTTAACTATTGCCATTATATCAAGGCAATTTGGCTATTGCCCTAGAATTTTACATTAAATACTTGTAGACTTATATATTTTTTATAATTTGGATAGGTTGATGAGATTATTGAAATATTGGATCTTACAAAATGTGCTGACACTAGTAAGAATTTCCTCAAATATTAATTGTTTTTAATGATTTTTATTTGGATTTGAATTACTTTTTAATTGAATATATATATTTTTTAGAAATGGGTAGCTCTCTTAAAAGAGGTCTTTCTGGAGGTATGTATTTTATAAAGCTGTCATTGAAGTCGGTGGAATTTTGTGGTCATCAGTATTTTATACTTCTTTCTTTCATTTTTTTAGGTGAAAAGAAACGAGCAAACATTGGCTGTGAACTCATCACAAACCCCGCACTTCTTTTTCTCGATGTAAGAGAAGTATATTTATAAAATATGAAAAGTTTCATAAGCTAAATTCACAAATACAAAAGTGAATGTTTTACGAATTTAAAATTACTCTTGGCATAATTGTTTTCAATGAATTCACTAGGAACCAACATCAGGTCTGGACTCAAATAATGCATACAATCTCGTAAAGACATTGGAAAACCTTGCTGAAAATGAGGCAAAAACAATTGTTATGACTATTCATCAACCTTCGAGCCAAATTTTTCATTTGTTTGATAAACTATTGTTACTGGTAAATGGCCAGGTGAGTGACATAAGCTAAAACAGGAAATAATTTTTAGGTTGATTCTATCGTTCAGATAATGTGGTTTCAGACAATGTCTTCATTCTCTCTTCAGAATTTTCCAGTGAAATGCAAATCAATCTCACTGGAAATATCTAAGTACAACATTTTTGCTTTAAATAGGTTGCCTACTATGGTGATTCTTCAGATGTTCTCGATTTCTTTGAAAGAGCTGGTTTTCATTGTGAGGAGCATTATAACCCTGCTGATTATATATGTAAGCACATGACAACAAAATATTGATTTTATTATAAGCTTGTACGTGTCCTGGTTTAGATTGCCCATTTCAGTCATCTCAAAGACAATAAGTAGTTAAATGATAATTTAAGTAATCAGGAATAATCTCATTATCTATTGTCTTAGTTGTCTTATGATTTATTGTCAAGTCTTTATTAAGAAACTTAAGTGAGTTTATTATCTTCCACAGTGGAGGTTTTATCAAGAGGTGCTGAAGTTGAAAAAACTATTGTATCAGCTTGTGATGAATGGTTAGTTGTGTACTCCTTGTTATATCTGAGGTTATTTTAATGCATACGAAATGACGTTCTCTCTCTCTCGTCCAGGATAAAAGGAACTCTACCCACCCCTGTGTGTGTTGACAGACGAAGTATCGCCGTAAGTAGCGAACGGGAACGGGACAACGACTCTGCCGTATTACCGCTGGACTACTGTTTGCAGAACAGAGCTAGTTTCCGAGAAGACAACGATTCTCAGAATTCCAGTCCTAGTCCCCAAAAAAAGGTTGTGTTATCAAATAACGTCAAACACACGGAAAATGATCTCAGTACTACCGGTGAGAAACTGAATGGATATACAAAGAAATTACCTGCGTCAGGAACTTCTCATTCTTCAGTCGTTCAGTTCAGACCGAAACAGGATATATCGGTACAAATAGATACATCTGGGACAAACCGTCACTCCATACGCAGGAACTCTATGGAAGAGATCAAACGCATGATGGATAACACTTCTGAGGATAGCGATGACGATAGTGGACACAACAGGTTTCATTTGGATCACGGGGATAAGTGGCCAACGTCATTTTGGACACAACTATGCGTGCTCAGTCATAGAACCTTTAAACAATCATTACCAGTGATTTTATCCAAGTTAAATTTAATACAGGTTAGTATGAGTTTGTCTTTGGTTAAGAAAGCTTGCATACACACTACTTGTTAACGAGCTCAGTACTATACGTTGATGACGTCATGCGTCTTCTGTTTCATTAGAACCTGCTGTTAGCCACCATAATTGGCTTAATCTGGTTCCAGTTACCACACAAGGAAGAGACTATTAATGACAGAAGAGGCTTGGTATGTAAAAGGAACTCTTCCTATCCCTCTCCAACATTTTCAAACTTTCCAAATCCCGTACAGAAGGAAGTACTGCATGGATTTATAACTGACATCCAAAAAGATTTAATGAATAAATCTTTTCTATTTTTTACAACAGCTTTTCTTTTTCATAACGTATTGGAGTTTCAATCCGCTGTTCCATGCTTTACTTACGTGTAAGTATTCGAAGAGAATTGTAATGGATGAAACTTGGAATTGAACTGATCCAAACCTGAAATGTGTTTCGTTCATTTTTAGTTCCATCAGAGGAAGTGATCATTAGAAAAGAACGATCGTCTGGAAGCTATCGTCTCTCGGCGTATTATTTTGGTAAATGTCTCAGTGAAGTTCCACTGGTTATCTGTTACCCCTGCGTGTTTTTATTTGTTTTTTATTGGCTGTGTGGTCTCAATCCAAGCGTGGCATTTCTCGGTCAAGCCCTGAATCTGGTCGTTAACGCGATTTTATCGCAGGTATGGTAGTATATTAGGATATATTAGAATTATGTTTAGAATTTCTCTCTAATCTTGTGTTGAAATTTCAGTCAATAGGACTTGCCATTGGCGCGACTGTGATGTCATTCAACAAAGGAATTGTGGTCGCTGCCGTCACAATGTTAACCTTTATGCTTCTGGGAGGTTTTTATACTGATAGAGTACCATTCTGGTTGGAATGGGTGCAGTATTTATCATTTCTCACGTACTCGTACCAGAATTGCCAGATTATGGAGTTCACTGGAATTGCAGATCAAAGGTAAGAATATTTAACCGCAAAAACCTTCAGACAATAAGACTGTCTCCCCCAAAAAACTGTCTGAAAACTTAGCAAAGTTAGACAGAATGAGAAAGCTCTTGACCAGTGTTTCTTTGTTCTTTTAGTTGTGCTGAAATAACCAGCTTCATGCAGTGCAAGAACAATGCAACTGTCATCACAGGTAGTCAAATTTTGAAACATTTAAATGTGACAAGAACATACGGTGAAAACCTGGCAGTTTTGCTTGGATTTACTATCATATTCAGAGCAATTGGGTATTGTTCATTGAGATTCCTTCATAAACCCAAGTAAATATATAAATTTCATTTGTTCAGTTTGTTATTAAGTACCAGGGTATGGTACATGAGTGGGTACCATCCAAGGTAGGAGAGAAACAAAGAACTCTCTTTAAAGTTATTATGGTGTACAAGATAGTTATTATTTTGTAAATTTGCTGGAGGTGTCTCCAGAAACAGAATGTAGTTAAGTTTGGTTGATTTTTAATGCCAGGTACTGGGTAGTAGGACTAGATGTACATCATTTTCATGGATCAGTTCACAGAGTTTACAGAGAGTCGTACATATAATATATGGCAGAGTTATATTAAAATTATAAGAAATAAAATTATTGAGTTTATAAAGAATGTCTTCAAATATTTGTAATAAAAAATTATTATATTATTTTATTATATTATTTTCTTTATTCTCTTTTTTCTTTTGATTCTTCATTGCAAGTTTTGTTTATTATTGGCAGTTACAGGTCAAGGTCTGATAGAATACACCATGATAATCACTTATTTTTGCTGATATTATATTTCATACAAATTATTACAATACAAAAGACCATAATTACATCAATCCAATTAGGGTGATTTACAAGACTTTGCCTAACAGATATCATTAATGGCTTTTATAGTGAAATACCAATTACAATCTGGGGCCTGTGTTGATATTGATATGTATTTGTGGCAGCCTTAGACATGTCATCCATAACTTAAATGTGAATTGGTTCTCAATTAAATTTGGCTCAGATTGGAATGGTATTTCAAAAAGAAAACTAGATAAGATGATGGTTTGTCATCCTATTTCAGTTATCCAAAAATTGATGTAGACCTCTTTATACAACACTGATGCTCTTTACATTAATCTTCCTCAAATATACTGTTTTATAACTATGTTATTCAACAATGTTGTTTCTGTGCTGTACCAAGATCCATTGCTTGTTGTTTGGTGAAACAACAAGCATTTACCTGAAACAGAATATTTAAAAAAGTTGGCATGTTTTTGATTTTATTATGGGTTTTCTTTTTCTATTATCAACAGTTGTCATCAGTTGATGGGTTTAGAAAATGACACTGCCTAAAATGATCATTACCTTCCTCATCCACCACCAGCCATTGGCGGGGGACTAGGTCCACCTAAACACAGAAATCATGGTTTAAAATTTTTTCATTTATTGGCACAGCACCGTTAATATTGGTACCCATACCACCCAATTTTATAAGTGCTGATAAATTAAGCGTAGTGTAGCTGGACTAAAGTCAGTTATTATTCAGCAAATACCAGATTGGTATCTAGTATAGCTGAATAATAACTATGACTTTAGACCCATTTACACTGGTTGTTACCAAGAAGTTAATAACTACCTCCTCCGCCGCCAATCCTACCCATTCTGCGTCCAGGTGGCCTGGGTGGTCTAAAATAATTGTCAGAAACATTAGTACAAGACTGACACCAAGTCAAAGGTTTGATCTGATAACGTCTTACCCTCCACCTGGTTTTGATCTATAGTCTGACGTCTGTGATACTCCTCTCCTGGTCATATCAGGCTATAAAGAATAAACAAACAAATTGCTTGCGTTTTGGATCTTCGTGTTTTATTTTAGGCATTCATTGAAAATACATTATTGTAGTACTTACTGAAAACATCGTTTGAAAGCTTTAACGTTTGAGGAAATATAAAATAAAATCAAGCAAACACCAATTAATATTTACGTTTATAAAACATTAAAAATATACAAAGTAATCATTTTGCTACGAAATTTACTCACAAGAGTACGACAAAATTTATTATCCCCCAGACCGCATCTTGTATGATCGTTAGCCGCCATATACTGCGGCTTTCTTGTACGTTTCCTAAACGTAGAATATGAGTTGAGAAAGCTTTCAAAAAGTTGTATTTAAAAAGATGAAAATTGTATTTTCATTTACCTCCCGACACGTACGGCATTTTGAAATGTTTTTGTTGTTCCCAGGACCTCTCTCCACAGACAAATAACTACTCAGAGACCACTGATTACGTCATCACCACAACTAAACCTGTATAGCACGTCCCACATTGAATCTATTGTTAGTTTTCTTTCTGAGGAGCAAATTTTTGAAGTGTCTATTCCTGCCTAGCGGCCTTTCGTATTCAACTCTAGCGAAATTAGGTGACGTTTTTATGCAAAATATACCCTGGGCTACGCTTCTATTGTATTCCAAAACGCATTAGAACAATAGTTAATCGCTTGCATGTGCGTCACTGAGCCATTACCACACATCTTTGATGAAGATGAACGTGCATTCAATTTGGAATTTCAACAAGAAGGAAAGGCAACATATGCCTTAGGTTTCGTCGCTTAAAATGCTTTCTTTGCATCATTTAAAAAAGGGTCTTTCGTTCCTCGTTCATACAGCAATCCTGGACGACTCTGTGGTAATTAACTACCCTTATTTCGCCTAATACTCGCGACAAGTAAGTGACTTTTAATTGATATTCTACTTGCTTACTTCTTGCGCTGGGAGCGGGCTGTGCGAAGGCCAGATCAGCTAGTTTCAAACGCTAGAAGAACAATAAAACATTGGAAATGATCCGACAATTGATAAAGAGAGATGCTAAGGTTAAATCTAGGTTATACCAATAGTTGGATAAGGATTAAAAACACTATCCGGAGAATAGCGCTTCCAGCCTTCGTTCAACTGTCTTGTAATAACCTCATCGCCCGTGGTTATTTTCACAGTTTATTTTTTTAATAAATTGCAACATAATTCGACAGAACAATATCATGTCATAGAGAAGAAGAGACACGTAGTTTCCGCGTAGTAAACCAGGCGCACAGGACGCAATTTTTCTCGGCTTTAAACAATATTTTCAGTTGAGATATAGTGTCGGTGATCATTGCATTTCGCTGTGAAATACTCAGTGATTGAACAATCGTTCTCTGAAAGCGAGGTTTAAACTTCTTAAAGTTATATGCCACTTCACAATTTATTTTGTTGGCAAATGCATTACTGTCACTGTCAGGAGGTTTTAAACTTCACCGATGTTTAGACCTGTGAGAAATACATATCAATATACAATCAAAATAACAATACGTGAGCGGTCGTAAGCCAACAAAGCATATTCGACTGGCGCTGCAGAGGGTGCAGGACCTTGATAATTGTTTGTTATTCATTACAACTTGACGTTTTTAAATGTCATTGACAGTTTTAAGAGTAATTGATGATCAGTAGTGGTATTGATATAAGCTGTTTTCCTTCCTGATTTACTCTCGAATGAGTGGTCTGTTTTCACCAAAACCCGGTTTGATTTCGCATGATACGAGCCGTGTAGTTTCGCGAACCAGTCTGACTAAAGTCTAACCTACACTGGCCAAGATATTCTGACATCCATCTGAGGTAGTGGTCCATAAAATGCTGAGTTTGATTCGAACAATTGCCACGCCCAACTCCTTAAAGTGCGTCTGTGAGACGCTTGATTTCGAACTCGAGATGGATGAAGTAGCTTATGACCTAATCTGAGTTTTCGTGAAAAAATTAGAATTGATTTTTTTGGGTTTACAAATAAACTTCAACAATTGTCAAAGGGATTGGTATAATTTAGTTTTAAGTACCAAGATTTTAGAGACCCCCAAGTCAAGTCTAGGTCATCATTGTAACGGGTTTCAAATTACGACCAGCAGGGTTCGACTGTTTGTCATCAGCTTATTATTCTGGAATATCTACCTAAATAAACGCACACGTATATCACAATATCTATTTCAAGAATCATTTGAGAAAGGAAAATTTTAATTTGTTAAAAAATGGCATTTCCTTCAAGGTCAGGGTAGCCCACATGACTTGACGCTAGACATGCAAATCATGTTGATAAAAGTTTTCTGACCACACGCGCAGTTCAAACCAGTTCTTTATGTATTTCCTTATCCTCTTAAATTCACATATTATTGGTTTAAAACTAATTCTTGTTCATTTAAAACGACAAACTGACAAATTTTATGTTATTTTATTTCCATCCAATATTACTTTTAAAAAGCCAATTAATATAGAACTGATGGCTAACTTTTAGTGACCTTCATGCAGACGCGCGTTATTTTAATTGGACAAGGACGCACAGCACTTCCGCACGCGCGCAAAATAGACCATTGTTAACATCCGAGTGATCTGTCATTAGCTAGCTGGCTGCGTTCGTGGTTGAAAGACTAGAATTGACAGCGTTGGTAAGCAATCCACTTGATCAGAAGTATACTGTATATTCACGCGTGCATTACATTGCGAAGTATACCTTCGATATTTGTGGTGTATTGTCTGGGAGTATAGTCTGCCGAGTCAATAAAGCGCCTCTTATTTCTATCTGTGATAAAGTACCAACAACAAATATTAAGAAAGAATTTGGAGGAATCAAGTTTAGCCGCTTCAGCGGCAGGCCGTATTATGGCAATGTCAAATCTTGGGATTGAGCTATCAGTCCTATGTCTAATACTGATATCAATATTGCATCTCTCCCATGGAGATCCATGCGGACTTGTGAACCTGAACGAGCGCAGTATAGTTCTTGTGGGTGAGGTAAAAGCTGAAATCCGCACGAACTATTCGCATGTACTGCTTATTCGCGTATTGGAAAACGTGTACGGTGAAACATTGGACAATGAAGTGAACGCATCTCAAGTAGATAAAGCGCGCTCTTGTGGGAATCCGCTTGAGATCGGTGATCAAAGAATTTTTGTAATTGAGACGCATCCTGGCAATAAGAAATACACGCTAGCCGCGTCTCTTCCGTTGGCTTTAAAACATCTTGCAGTGAATGCAAGAAGGGGTAGGTCTTGGTCAATATTTATACTTGATATTGTTTGTAAACAGTTGTATTTTGAAAGTCGTCAACTTTGAAACATGAGACCTGTTGTGGGAATGAGTATTTTTTGATAGATAATGTAGAATCGCCTAAAGTTACATTTAAATTAGTAATCTTAAATCAGCAAGAATGCCTCAGAATGAATACGAAATTTGCGCAACTATGTGTACAGCGATAGACAGTGAAGTCCTCTGATATATACTAGTTTATTGTTGAAGTATGTGTTGACAATACAACCTCGGGCCCTATTAGTTAATGCATGCTTTTGCCAAAAGAGCTACAATTCATCAGACTATCATTGAGATCTCTGCAGTGAGTTGAATGTCTATTTGCTTTGCGCCTTTCGACAATTTCGTGATAAGAGATGTTAACGGGAAATGGATGCCTGTTAGGAAGGAAAGATAAGGAGGCATTTAATCTTTCTTTGAACTTCTAGACGCACGCAGCGCAGACATGCAGAGCGAAATTGCGCACAAATTCGCACGCTATGTTGAATGCGTGCGGCCAAAGTAAATACAATTGTTTATTTTGGGAGAATTATATTTGAGACAGCTTAGTCCAAGATACATAACCTGTTATTGGATTACTTATACTACCTTCGAAATACTGCAAGAATCATGATTTAGCTAGAACATCAATGTTGAAAGCGAAAGTATATTTCCCCCCCCTCACATATGTTGAATTCCCACAGCTTTGAACCGTCAGACTTCCGGAGCGTTGCTGCTAAATTGTTTCTCATCACATCGGAGAACAATTCTTCTCCGTTTTTGATTTTTCTGCGCGTCAATAGTTGCGAAAATATACGAGTTTTAAACGATTCTGTGGTGCTTACAAGGGCGAATAGACTATTTGTTTAGCATGATGTCGCCAACTGCTGAGTATCGCAGTACGGTTCAGGGCGGCATAGTTGACACCTAACTCTTTGGAAGCATCCAGGTCTGTGATGTATCCAGTGGATGTATCTAATCAACGATCGAAGCAAATCGAATCAACATGATCAAACTTCTGGCCTTGGTATAGAACTGCTTTTATTACAACCAGGCTTCCTCAAAGCTCAATTCTTGCTTTTTAAATGTTTTTTCTTCGCCGTGAAATTTTTAGACGCCTTCGACTGCTTTTGATTTGGTCAACAAAATAACAATAGACGAATGAACGTCTAGGATCAGCCAGCGGGTGGGAGGTATAATCTGTGATGGTTAAAGATTTGTGATCATTTGACATTTATCTCAACGGAAACCACAGACTTGTCCAGTCTCAGTAGGGTAATCGTTATACCAGCTATGAAAAACAATTTTCTTATCTCGTCATCAAAGTCAACGCAAATTTACAATTAAGAAACTGCAATTACCAAGATATGGTAAACAACTGGCATGTATTTTGAGACCTATTATATACAAACATATGATGGGAAATGATTGCGCATCAATAAGAACCCTTCCCTATATGTTATTTTTCATCAAACAACACGAAATTCTAGAACTTAAATATTCGTAAATGTGAAGAATTTGATCTCGTGTGATTAAATAAATTTCTCAGTGGGAGAGTGTTACGTAATATGGTACTGCTCTGACATGCGACGTAGTTGTTAAACTAAATTAATTTTCACTCACGTTTTTTACGTTATTGTTTTAGCGTAAGGCTGTTTGTCACTAGTGCGTTTTTTGTATTCAGTTCTATTTATTTATCTCGACACACGAAAATTACAAAAGAGTTCAAATGCTATTATATGAGACAACAAAAGAAATTAATTTTAAAGCATCGACTATTTTAGATGATTTAGTTTCGATGTGATCAGGTTTTTCCAAAAATTAAAACAAGAGATTTCGTGCGTTTACAGATGTATGAAAAACAGATCAGTAGAATTGAGCCCACCATATCCTGGATTAGAAATTTGCGCACGGAAATTGCGCGTATTAATGCAAAAAGCGCATGCTTAAGTTTATAATGCGCAACACACGTGAAATGCCTTATGGCATTTATGGCGTTTTATCGAGCTGTAGAACTATGTCATTTTCAGTTGAAAACACGCATTGTGACGTTCGTTCTCTTATTGTATAATAGCCTCGGTTTTTAATAGAAGATCTTAATTCCAATCTCAGGTTATTTAAAGCATTTTGCGCGATATTTTCCCACCTATTCGTATCAGATAACATCTTTAAAACTATTTTTTAAAGCGTGGAATGCAGAGATCGTTGTGTAAATGTCAAAGAGATGCAGACGGGGCAATTAATGTTTACCACACCAGTTTGTTTTCTTGAAATGCGTTGATTATCAAATTCTCGAAGTTCTAAATCTATTACGTATGAAAATGCGGCTTAATTTAACTTTTAACTTGAAGAAAAGTTTCCCGTTACAGCCAATAAAATAAAAACAAGTACATATGACCTTGGCTCGCTTTTTTAATTCTGGGCATCTATTTTAAGAGAGATAGGAAAACATGAATTGTCTAATCATATTTGTGGTTAGGCTCGGGACATTGATACGTTCGTATACTTGTCATCACAATCGCCTTCGTCGTTATTTGTTAAAACATGTTTTTTATGTGTTTCACATTATTATTATTAAATAACTGCACAAGACCAAAGAAAAGAGTGATTTAAAGAATCGTATTTTGCCTGGACTAAAAGTCGCTCGCTCTTGTCATTCCCATCATTCCAAATATGCGTGCCCGCTTGACTCCACTCAGAATAACAAATACGTATACACTTATAATAATCTAAATCCTCTATCATTACGTCACGAGTAAGGAAGCGAGGCGAATTCACAAGGGCATGGTTTCCAGGCCAAGTTCACCTGAGCTCAAAAACACCATAAGAATCATATCCGTCATTTCTGGCTCCCTTGAGTTTTTCCAGAAGGTTAAAAAAAAATTAAAAACATCATAAATTATATATAATTATTCTGTCCATCTTAATCGCACGTTTGTTCAAATAACACAACACGTTTTATATATAACCGCAATTTGTTGCATGACAGTGCCGTTTTCAACGAATTAAACCGACCATCGTATATCTTTTAGAAAAACTTGAAAGTCGTGAGGAACTTGAAACGTACTTTGCAGCAGACGATGAATCTGTTTGTAACACTGATTTCAAGTGCCACAATGGGGGATACTGTATTGTTATTCCTACTGGAAAAGCAATATGTCGTTGTCCTATTGTTTGTACCAAGGAATATGATCCAGTTTGTGGCTCAGACGGCAGGACTTTTCCAAATCCTTGCGTCGTGAAGTACGAATCTTGTTTGAAACAAAAGAACATCACTATTGTTCACTATGGTCATTGCGGTAAGGAATCTACTAATCAAGGTTTAGGTTTTATGATTAATCCTAATCATCGGACATTTAGAATATGGCTTAATCTTAATCTTAGGATTAGGTTTAATCCTTTATGTCTAATGCCAATATTTATGCATGGTATACAAATTTTTCAATTCAGTTTAAGGATAGAAATATTATTGTTGCAATTCTCGATGTACAATCTAGGAGTCTCAAGTTGTAAGGACGTCCTCACGGAAGAACTAGGTAAAGATGACGGGGAATACGCTCTTCAACTTAACCCAAATTGCCAGCTTCCCGTTCGTGTGTACTGCCATGGCATGAACACATCACAACCCAAGGAATACCTTACCCTCCCTCGTGGGACGAAAAATAACTACGCCATCGTCTATGACAGAAGATTACCAGCCTCTCCTGTGAACATGAGATATCGCTGTGATGGAACTCCTGGTGAACACGTATACTCGCGAGCTGGTGTGACACGGTTTAACAAAGTACGCCTGGATATTACGAAGATGTCCGTGATAACAGATGACTACACCTTCGCTACAGTACAATCTGGGAGATCCATCGAATTCGGTGAAGCTGGAGATTGCTTTTCTGCAAATCCGGGACGGTGTAGAAAGGGGAGTTTTAAGATCGATCTTTCTGATACTGGACTTCGTGTCGATAGTCAGGTGGCATGGAGAGCAAATGGGTTTCCACTTGGTATACGAATGCAAGATTTCTATAGATCAAGTACTGGCCATGTTATTTCGGCAAAATGTGGAGGATGGTGTGGTCATTGTGGACCTGAAGGTGATCTCCAGTTAACGCAAGATGAGTGTCTAAGACAGGAAGGTAAAAACGAAATGAGAGTGATTCTAGCTGGCTTCAGACAACTAATACCGATTATATTTATTTTCAGATCCTTGCAAAGCAACTCGTTGTCCTTATTATTCAATCTGTTTACCACATCCTGGCTCTGAGCTGGGATACAAGTGTGTTTGTCCAAGCGCTTGTTCTCAAGCGATTTCGCAAGTTTGCGGGAGTGATGGTCGAACCTATGATAATGAATGCTTGATGCAACAAACAGCTTGCTCTAGTAAAACTATGATCACACTGGTTAAGCTCGGAACTTGTGGTATGTCCTTGGAAATAAAACAAGATTTGCTGCCTTTCTTAACAAAGGAGATATTGACCAGTGTTCGACTGATTTTTCTGTTCTGATATATTTTATTTAGTCAGTGGTCATTCTGTTGACATGGTTTATTTGACGGATTTCAGTGGAGAACAAAGACAAGCAATGCTGACAAAAACATACACTTTCTTTCAAAACTTATTGAACTTTTTTGACTTTTCCTCGTCCCGAAGTCGACTGGGGTTGTGAAGTACAGCTCCAGCCATTCCTGGGTAAGAATGTTTACCAATGGTCAAGATCTCGCAAGCTTACGATCTTTTATTCAAAATACACCAAACAATCCATATCGCAAGCCGTTGGAAACAATCTTATCAGAGTTACACGGAAATTTTACGACAATGCTAAGCAACGGGTATCCACGCTCAGCCATACCAAAAGTATTGATCGTTGCCAGCGATGGACGATCAATCGTGGATCGCCAACAGTTTGAACAAGCAGCAAAAGCCTTAAAAGATCTTGGGGTGATGATTGTGATATTTGGTGTTGGGGGTAGAAGTTATTTTGATAAGATGAGTCCGGCTGCTTCAAGTGATAGGTACAGATTCTGGGCAAGGTACGAAATACAAGTCCCATTGGAGACAGCAAATGTTGCAAACGCTATTATCTTAGGTGAGTGTAATTCAATAATTACTTAGATATTGTATCAAGCATGTATTTCGTCTGTGGCTGAACAAACTGAGAAGTGAGAACCTTTTTGCCATGTAATAATTTGTCGCCATTTATAGGTTTACAGAGCTGTCAATGGATGAGATGTCAGTATCACAGTTATTGTATTCAACATCGTATTGGGCGAGCCGAGTGTGTTTGTCCACTGGCAGGTGACCACGTCGATCCTGTGTGTGGAAGCAATGGTAAAACATACATCAATAATGAAGTTCTTATTCAAGACTCGTGTCGTAGAAAGACGTTTATTACGTCACAACGAGGAGCTTGTGTTGTAGGTAAGAATATATTAGTTTTCCGGAGGAACTTCGTGCAAACATCATCCAGTCTAACCATGAATTGCGCGCAATTCTATCATAACCAGCACACAATTTTAACACGACCTTATCCCCACCTTCGCCCTTTGTCGTGCGTAACGTAAATCAACCCAAAGCTCGCTGGAATTTGCTTGTGTTTTAATTTACTTTATTGCTCAAAAAGAATTACATTTCTTCTTTTTTTAGGCGCTTGCAGAAGTTTCACTTGCAACCACTATTCATTCTGTGAACTAAACAGCGTACGTGTTCCGAAATGCGTGTGCCCGACCTCGTGCAGTTCACGACTAGAGCTTGTCTGCGGCAGTAATGGACAAGTTTATGAGAATGAATGCGCGTTACGAAGATGGTCATGTCAGAATCAGCTTTACGTCACCGTCGCTTATACAGGACCTTGTAAGTAATGTCCTAGTTTGATATTTTGTTTCGCGTGTCACAAAATGAATTTCTTCCACTTTTTGTTGTTGAATCTTTACAGGTAAATCGGGTCCAATCGACGTTGTTTTTGCTATTGACGGCTCCAGTAAAACAGATCCAAGTCGTTTCGTACAAATGAAGAACTTCCTAAGAAGCATCGTCTCTTATTTGCCTTTATCAAGATCGGAAGTCAATGTCGGCGTCGTGGAATACAGCGATAAACAGTACGAAGAGATTAAACTAAATGAATACTACAACATGGAGTCTCTACGCGAGGCAATACGATTAATAAAACCTAGCGAAGGTGCCACCTCAAGAATAGGAGAAGTCATCAAATTCGTGCGAGAACAGATTTTCCTTCGAGATGAATCAAGTCGTAGCGGTGTTAGGAAAGTTTTAGTCATTTTGACAGACGGTAATGAGTATACTGAAGACAACCCACAATCTGAAGCAGATTTGATAATGAAATCTGGCGTGAGAGTACTTGGTGTAGCTGTTGGTAACCAACCAAATTTAAAGAGTTTCAGTAGAGTTATTAGTCCAACTGAAAATCTCTATGCAGTCAATCAAGCTGGTAGTTTGGGTCGGCTCGTTCCCTCTGTTGCAAGAGATATTTTGAGAATTACCAAAGGTGAATGTCATGATCACGAAGCATTATATATTTTACTCAGCTGCATGTATACCTCACGTATGATAATCGGTCGCAACCAAGTCGACTCTAATTTTACTGAATTTCGTTTCAGCTGCGTCGGGTTCTCTTCTGGATATTGCGTTTATTGTTGATGGTTCCGGTGACAGCAGTCCTCAATTTGAAGACATCAAATACCTCGTGAAAACATTTGTGTCTACACTGGACGTCGGCAGTGACAAAGATCATGTTGGTATTGTTGAATACGGAAATACAGCAAGAATAGTTCTACCTTTTGATTGGCTGAATAATGTCCAGTCAATCAATCAGTTTATTGACGGTATCCGATATAGCGGTGGCTCGCCGAGACTCGACCGAGCTCTTGCAAAGACCAGAGAATTATTCAAGATTGAGAGAGGGTATCGTCCTGGAGTAAGTAAGGTTGCAGTGTTGGTGGCGAATAGCCAGTTTGATGGCCAAGACACTGCTTTACAGCAGGCAGTGCAGGAACTAAGAAGAGATGGTATAAGGTTGTATGTTATTGGTTCCAACAAGCCAGATGAGAATCGCTTACAAACACTAGCTCCCAGAAATGATATCAGAAGGATTACGAGGTTCCTGGATGCAGGGGATACAGTAAAGGAGGTTGTAAAGTACATAGCAGATCAGGACAAAGGTGTGAGATTGAAGATATTTTAGTAAAGGAATCATCTTAGCTTATTTTCTTCTATATTCTTAATAACGTTGTTATCTTTTAGCCAACACTCCTGTTTACGATATCGTCTTCGCTCTGGGTGCAACTGGCCAGTCTCGATCCACCATATTTGATCTGCAGAAAAGCTTCGTAGAAAATGTTATTAACTTCCCTTCAAATGCTGACCGCAATTACGGTCTCATCCTGTATGGTCCCTCTAGCAGCATTATAAGACGCCTTGAACAACCGAAAGATGATCAAGCATTTCTACAAACAATGAACAGGCTTACATTGCCAAACTCTGAAATTACGGACATGATGTCTGTTCTAAATTTGGCTCCAGACCTCTTTCGATCCAGGTCTTCTGATTCCAACAAGATCTTGGTGTTGTTCACGAACAGTCCGTTGCCACAGGACGTCAGTGCCTTAGCAACAGCAGCACGCGGCTTAAATCGTCGTAATATTAAAGTGGTGGTGGTCAATATCGGGTTGCGAACCGATCATTCAAACTGGTTACCAGATCCTACCTTTGTTATCAATGCAAATCCGAGAAATTCCGATCAAAGAAGTACAACTCATAGAATTGGAAGTATCGTTTACAGAGGTAATAAAATTATTTGACACGGTAAGGTAAAGCACGCATTCCTATTTATATTCTTCATTTGAACCTGCCATTTCATCTTTTAATTATTCAGCGCCATGTTATGCGTCCACGTGTCGTTATTTTGCTACATGTATCCCTCATCCTGATAGTTCAATTACCTGCGAATGCCCGACATCTTGCCCGCACATACCTGACGTTGGACAGGTCTGTGGTAGCAATGGACGGACGTACGAAAATCACTGCGCTTTAAGAATCGATGTTTGCCGCAAACAGATTGATGTAACCGTGAAGAATACTGGACGTTGTGGTAAGGGCATGCGCTGTGAAAAGATTTAGACAGAATAGCACAACCTGGAAATGATATTAATATTTTCGCGTTGACATCATCGTCTCTCTGGATCATTCATCTTGCCAGAGTAATATATACTATCCAAAACGTCTCCGTAGAATAATCCGTCTTACATTTAAGAACAAATCATTTCAATTCCCATTTGAATTCATTCCATACAGACCGATAATTCGGCAAGATCGTTCATAGTACTTTACAATGTTTCTTTCTTACCGCTTTCTGTTTATTTTGTATATAGTGATTCAAACTCCAGTGGACATTGGTTTTCTTCTCGATGGCTCTGGTAGTGTGGGCAAACAAGGTTTCCGTCGCGTCTTAAACTTCGTCAACCAAGTCGTGTCGGCCTTCAACATTTCTCGTGATACTGCCCAAGTTGGCGTAACTGAATTCAGCAATAGTCCTGTCATTCAAATCCAACTAAACGATTTTCAGAACTCCAAGTTGCTTCAAGACAGAATTACCAACATCGAGGACTCTGGTGGACGGACAAGAACTGATACCGCCCTGAGGATTATGTCTCAGGAATTCTTCAGCCATGACAAAGGATCCCGAGCAGGGGTACCAAAGGTCCTTGTTGTTGTAACTGACGGAAAGTCGACAGGAAGTGAGCCGCTCTCTGAGGCTGTTAAAGGATTGCGTCGAAAGGGTGTGATTGTATATTCAGTCGGTATAGGAAAGCACATTAACATGGAAGAACTGAAGGATATCAGTAGAACGGAAGAAGATGTTTTTAGGTCGAAAGATTTTGACTCGACTGGCTTGCTTGCTCCTGTATTGGTTGAAAAGATTGCCAGTGATCTTACAGGTGGGTTAATAGTTCCTTGCTTTTCGCTTGTATACATCAGTTGTCTCTGAAACATTATTTCTTTTTGTACAGATCTTTCAACATCTAACATGGACGTAATATTCGCCATGGGAGCTTACGGATCTACAGCAAACATTGCGTTCAACCAAGAAAAAGCTATCATGAGCGCCATAGTTGATAAGCAAGGTTCTTCAAAAGTGAAATATGGTCTCATACAGTATGGTATCGACTCAGCTGAAACACTGAAACGTTTATCACAGTTCACGAGTAATTTGGACTTCAAAAGATTTGTTGCGGCTAGTGAACTCAAAACTCGTGGTAGGGCATTAATATCGGCTATGGATAAAGCTAGTGAGGAGTTCTTATTAAGCAGTGCAAGACGGAAGGTTCTGGTCGTGTTGCGATAGTTGGTCAGAAATGTGTTTGATTTTCATACTGTGTCACCAACTAATTTCCTTTCATACCGTGGTGTCATCGAAAAATCGTGTATTAACGCGCAATTAGAACAATCTATAGGCGGAGTATAGATTGTTCTAATTGCGCGTTCATTGTGTGGATGTCATTTGGGCCGAACGTAGCATTGGATA